ACCACCATCCCTCCCCGCCCCGTGATTGTGCCTGCAAAAGGAGGCAGAATATACTAAGCGCTCTTTCTGGTCTGAAATCACTGGGCCCTGTCCAATGCGATCGTTTTGTCTTTACTTCTACAGGTACAGTATATGGAACTCATGGGAGACGAGGGAGGCAAACTTACACCAGATACCAAACGCTAGAGTTAGAGAAGGAATTTCATTTTAACAGATACTTAACCCGAAGACGACGTATTGAGATTGCAAACGCTCTCTGCCTTACTGAACGCCAGATTAAAATATGGTTTCAAAACAGGCGGATGAAATGGAAAAAGGAAAACAAATTCATAAATTCCACACAGCCCAGCAGCGAAGAAACAGAGGAAAAGTCAGGGGAGTAGAACCACGTTTAATAAACGCTACCAGGCCTTTTCTTAGCGCTTACTATTACTATTATTATTTACCTTGTGTTCCTTCTGCTACAAAAATCCTATAGGTTTGTCACAGTCTGTTAATTCCCAAAAGGCTTGGTTAAAAGATGTACATTTGCAATCATCTGTGACTTTCTTTAATATATGTGGAAGTCCTAGCTTTCGAGCTACAGGCACGTATGTATATAATCACCTTTCCAAGGCGTAGATGGCGTTGCTTAAAGTATTAGAGAAATGGCCCAGATTTTTAAATATTTGAGGTGAGCATCTGTGTGTGGGTGTATGTCCCTGGCGTGCCTGTGTGAGAAGAGATAAGCGAGTGTTGTTTTTTTTTTTTTTTTTAATTAGAAACGTGCATATTGTAGAAATACGAGAGATTTTAGAAAATTTGAGTTTATGTTTTTGCTAACTCCCGCTACGTCGGGCCGTCTGGTTATGCTGTGTCTGGGAGCTTATGGTCTGCAGGGGAGAAAAAAAAGTTTTACGCATGTGTAAGATATTTAAATAACAAAAAGAAGAAGAATCCTTTAAAAAAATCGTTGTATAAAACCCCGGGTATAAAGTTGCAGTTAAAGCGAGGATGAATTGCAGGGAGATTTTTAAAAAATGCCGCTAAACTGCCTAATCTGCACTACTAGTATTAAAGTCAAAAACTCGGCGTTAAACTTCAGGGGAAGCGAGGGAAGAGGTTTCGAAGCGGGCGAATTTCTGTGGTTCCCGTTGAGCTTACACTGAGGTTTCGGTGAGCTCAGCTTTACACTGAAGGGGCTTTGAATTATGGACTATATTTCTGGGGGCTTCCGGGGCTTGGGTCGATCTTCCTTTCTTTTTTTTTCTTTCTTTTTTTTTTTTTTTTTTAATTAAAAGAAAAGTCTCTGTCATATTAACTCGGGGATCTTCTTCCCCGCTTTTGTGGTACCTTAATTCGCTTTCGCATTTCTTAGCACTGGAAAAAAAAATAAATAGATATTCTAAAGAAGAGTAGCTGCCATAAAGTGCTTCTACTTCGAGTTCTGTATAAGTAAAATAAGCGCAGCGAAAATACTGATTAATATATACGTTATATCTCTCTATATTATATTGTGTGTGCGTGAGTGCGTGTGAAGCTGTGTACAAGTACACTTGTGTACGCATCAAGGCTCTTTTGTTCGGAAGGCAGCGCAATGTGGGCTACCGCTCTAAATGTTTTAAAAGCCAAATGTGGAAAATAGTAATGCAAAATGGCTACCGCCGCATTTAGAGTTGTTGGGTTTTGTTTGGTGGTGTGGGGTTTTTTTGCTTGTTGTTTGGGGTTTTTTTTTTCTTTTTTTTT